TCCGCCACTATAAGTATGTAATTGTTATTACCTTGAGAGCTAGCAATACAACATTTGCATAATTGGAGATCTTCATCGCCCTCTCATGTTGAGCTTGTTCTTCAAGATCCTCAGCATCAATGCAATTAGATGCCACAATGGAATCAACTTCTTCAAATGACTTCAATGTCTCAAATTGTTTTTCATAGTAGTCCTTTTCTCCTATGGTAAAAAAAAAAATAATAATAATTAAAAAATAATGAACAATTCAACAAAGAAAGGGAAACTAGCTAGCTTCATTGTAGGCGGGGTGCAATTTGATATCATTTNAAAAAAAAAAAAAAAAAAAAACCGCAAAAATGAAAGAGGGAATGAACAATTCAACAAAGAAAGGGAAACAAGCTAGCTTCATTGTAGGCGGGGTGCAATTTGATATCCTTTCAAACCCTTCAGAGTCTTAATGAAGTTAATGTGCAAGGAATAACAGAAAGAATTTTATCAAGCAGTTGTTCTTGATATACCTACATATCATCAAGACTTATAATCTCCATTTCCAACCACGCACTCAAGTTTGATACTAAAGGAGGAAAGGGAATGGGACGAGAGGTGTAACCAAACACCATACAGGTTTTGAGAGTCCTTAAGATCTAATGGAACATGGTCAAAACACCAAATTTAGCCTAGGATCAGCATCTTCCACTAAATTTCATCATCGCATTATCTCTACCACATAACATAATGTTTCCCCACCCTTCAACAACAACTTGTAAACAAAATTGCAGGTTTCAGCTTGACAAATAGTCGACTAGTATCCTTAATTGTGCTAAAACATCGTCATGTGGACTATGAAAATGCATGCTCAACCATTACCACAAACAATTAAGACAAAAGCCCATTCCACAAAATATTGCAACCCAAAAAACCAAAATAAATGAAACAAAATAGAAAATGACCCAATCAATTTCACAAGGTCTTCTCTACTTCATTCACACAACAGCGTAGCCACATACATTGAAGGATGGTCAACTGAACACCCTTCATCGAAAAATTATACTGTATATATAGAAACATATATTATATATAGGTCAAAAAGTATTTTTTATATGTATATATTAAATTTTGAACACCCTTCACGAAATTCCAGGCTTCGCCCTTGCCTTCACAAATAGAACACATGTATACTTTATGCTAGTCCATATACTTGAAATGTGCTAGGAAGTAGTAGCTTAGACAGCAATTTCAACACAACATATATTTCCAATCTCCTCATACTTTCTCCAATAAACACAACAGATAGACACAAAAAATATACATGTCAGCTGCTTGATATACACAGAATATCAAAGATAGAACTAAAAAAAAAAAAAACAGAAAACCAGTCCCTCTCTGTAACAGAAGTTTGGCACTTTTCTTTCTCAAGACTCAAACTAAGAAACTTTTACTAACATTGTGTTCTTTCACCATTTTGTGATTAAAGATGATATAACCTAGTTCAATATAATACCAAAAGTTAGCAAAAATGACTCGTTTTTGTTTTCTTTAAAATTGACTCTTGACAAGCAAAAGGGGAAAGGGAGCCTTAGCGTAGTTACTGCCATGTGATCTCATGTGACCAGGGTGCAAACCGCGGAAATAGCACGGTAAGACCGCGTACGATAGATCTTTGTGGTCGGCCCTTCCCGGACCCAGTGCATAGCGGAAGCTTAGTACACCGAGCTGCCCGCCCCTTCTCGGACGCCGCATAAAACGGGAGCTTAGTGCACCGAGCTGTCCAGCCCTTTCCCAAACCATGCATAGCGAAAGCTTAGTACACCGCTTTCTCTTATAAGCAAAAGGGGAATTGAGGGAGGAGAAAGAGAGAACCTTTAGTTAAGCAAGAGGATTTGGAAAGGTCAATATTGGAGCAAGATTCAACATCACCATTATCATTAACACAAGACTTGACCTTTTCAGGTAATCTTGCCAAGAAATCACCCCTCAGAGATGTTACTGAGTTCCGGCGACTTATCCGGTGGCTGCTCCGCCGTCCACTTCCACTAAGCTTCCACCCTTCTAACAATGGCGTTTTGTTTTCATTCTCTACTTCTTCTCCCTCCATTTTTTCACCACACCCCACAATTCAAAGCTTAAGTTTCAATTCTGTTACAACACCATTGACATATATATAGCTGCTCTCTATATAGAGGTTTTGGTCTTTTGTCTTTATTTTAGTTTGATTTTAATATGTGATGAGAATTTGTCTGGTGACAAAAAATAGTTGGACTTTTCCAGAAAAATGTTTTTTTTACATTTGGATAAAAGAATTTCTTTTTTATATTTTAAAAGTAGTGAATCTTTTTGACAAGATTTTCTAGAAAAATTTTTTTTTGCGCGTCACGTGACAAACACTAATTGTGTGAGGCCTTTTTTTTTGTCTCTCAATTTCGTGGACCCAAAATTTTATGGAGCAAAAATATAAAATATGGGTCCATAAATTTATGAAAATACCTTACACAACTAATTTTATTTGTGTTAGACACACCCATAAAACTTTTCATCATTGTGACCTTCCCCGGTAGTTCTCGTACTTCCTAAATTTAGCTGGTACAGGCTTGTTTATATTTGGCAACTTCAGCTTCTTCTTTTTTCTAAATTGTCTTTTTTTTTTAATACTTTTTCTTTTGCTTTTTTCCTTTTGTATTGAGAAATAACAAAATTTCCCAAGTAATAATACATTTCTCTTCCAATACTTTACGGTTTTATTTAATAACTCCTATTTGTTGCAATATCAGCATAATTCACTCAAAAATAAAATGCGTGGCAGTATACTTAGGGTGTGTTTGGTACGAAGAAAAATATTTTTTCATGAAAAATAAATGGTTTTATCACTTATTTTTTCTTGTTTGGTTGGTAGTGAAAAACTTTTTTTTTTTTTAATATTTTCTAGTGTTTGGTTAGAGAGTATAAAATATTTTTAGGNTCTATTTTCTTGGATAATATATTTTTTTCAAAATTTACACAAACCCAAAGGAACTAATGTGCTATTTTACTTTTTCACATAAACGTTGAAATTTGAGCTCAATAACTAAAAAGAAAATACTTTTTTGTTGAAAAAGAAAGAATGCTTTCTACAAATGAAAAGAAATTACTTGTTTTGTTGGATGAAAGAAAATATTTTTTCTACATCATGAAACGAAACAAAATACGTTTTCTATGTCATGAAAAGAAAGTACTAGTTTTGTTAAAATGAAAGAAAATATTTTTTTCTATATCAGGAAAAGAAAAACCCACTTAATTTGTTGAAATGAAAGAAAATTTCTTTTTTATATCATGAAAAGAAAGTACTCATTTTGTTGTAATAATAGAAAATACTTTTCTACATCATAAAAAAAAGTACTCTTAATAATATTTCTATTTAGGGTGGGTGATGGGCGAGGTTGGGGTAGATAGGGTGTGGTTGGGGTAGTTGGGGGTGGGTTGGGTTGCTTTGGGGATGGGATGGATGGGGTGGGTTAGTGGGGTTGATGGGGATATGGAAGATAGCGGAGAAGGTTGAAAAAGAGTTTTGGAAAAGGTTCTCCCTTCTTTTGATAGAGAAAATAATTGAAAGAAAATAAGTTCATGAGAAAAAGTATTTTCCAAAACATTTAAGTCAGCGTACCAAACACACCCTTAGTTCAGTACTTTCTCTTTGTTCTTGAAAATGTTGGCTTTTGACCTTTTAGCTGTTCAGTAATTTAATCATTTAAATATTGAAACTAGAAATTTTTTAAGCTTACTTATTAATTTAATGTTGATAAACTTAGTTTATGTGTTTTCCTAAGGGAGGGACAAGAAGGCTTCGTTCGAAATACCAAGTTCATGCCACTGAGAGAATATTGATTGGTTGAGGAAAAACATAATTAATATAAATTCATGATTTATAATGGCTCTTTTTCTCATGAGCAGTTGTTTATATGTACAGTGTTTTTGACATTTTCATGCCTTAGACAAACAATGATAATGCCACTATCATTGAAAATGAACAACCAAATGAACATAAACTTGGACTGGTTGGTTTACGACATATTGTTTAGTTCATTTTACAATTTTATCACATTGAAATGTATGCTTATGAATAACCTTGACTTGCCACTTCTATCGTACTAATTTCTTTCCACTTTGAGACGTTTGGCTCTTCTGTTTCAACAAAATAATTAACAAGTGCTATAATAGGAGATCGAAATCCAAAACCTCAAGGGTTAAAAACTCATCAAATGTTGTCTAATTCCACGAATACTAATATGGCTATAGATAGCATGAATCTGTTCTTATCTTAAGCTGCTAGAGCAGGAGTAAGCAGAGGACACAAGTAAAACATATGTAACCTGTTCTCAGGATATGTACAGAGATGTTTTGATCACGAAAATGTATACAGAGATGTTATAATGTCCAATAGCAAAAGTTGACAATTAGATTAAGATCTATATCAGCTCCTTACATCCTGCCTACATCACGAAACATAACCCGGTTGGAAGTAGAGATAAGCATTGGCTAGAGCGCACACTGGAGATATCAATCCAAACATGTAGGTGTCGTTTGGTTGGAAAACAAGTCATCACATGATTATCCTGGGATTAGTTATCCCACCCTCCCATAGGGATAAAAAACACTACAATCCTGGGATAACTAATCCCAGGGTTAGTTATACCACTATTTTATCCCAAACCAAACATTGGATAAACTCATCAAGCACATACAGTAAATAGTGCTGTTAAAATGCTGAGCGGCAGAAGATAGTAACAGAAAACTTTAGCTTCTGGTGTAGATATCACAAGTCTAATCACGGCAAGTGATATCAAGTAACTATCTCCCATGAGTTCCAGATAAACTAGTCATGAATGAACTCATTCCCAACCACATATCCTACCATCCAGCTATACAATACAGGACCACACAAATAGGGGGATTGAAGTTTGGGAAAAGGGTAGGAATGGTTTTCTCCTCGCCAGTACTTACTATAAGAATACAGTAATACAAATGCACATGGAAACTTCAAAATGTCACAGCAATAAAGGGACATAATTGGAGACAGCAATAAGTAACAATTACTGACATAACAGATGTTCATAAATCGTAACCTCAAGATTACATTTAACTGTGACAAACAGATCAAAAATCTCCTTAACAAGGGTGCTATTACCAAGTTTCATCAATTCTCTAAAAAAGAACCAAATATCATACTGAAAGGAGCTCCTAATCAAACAGACTGAATCCCATGTCGTCATCACTTTCTTCCTTGGGCTCTTCCTGTTCCACATTTCAACAAAATCAAACAAAAAGGTTAGAGAAAGGCCATGAAAATAATCTACTCTTACTTTTAGAAAAGAAAGAATAAAACTTATACAAGTTTAACTTCATGGTTGAGAGAATCCAACCAACCATTAATTATTCTTTTGCTTAGATAATTTCTACTGTCGTAATTCATGATTAAGAAAATGTTACCATTTTTCTAAAACTATTATTCATTACAGAAGCATGTTAGAATTCCCAATTAAGGAGATTATACCAATTCCACATGCAACAATACCAAATCACCCTTTTCATAATAAGTTCAATATCCAACCATAACATAAGATGATATTCATCATTAAAAGTATCCCAATAACTTTTCTAAATCAATTATTTCACAACCTCTCTGCCAAAACGTATAATTCTTTTCATTGTTTTATGTTTTTCATATTGTTTCCATCAACCAGTGTAGATAACAACCAAACATATGTTTGAAAGAAGATTGCAGGATCTACTCAATCACTTTTTCAACAAAATCAGTTTTTCTTCATTTTTATTGTCGCAGAAGTAACTACAAAACATTCCATTACCTTCTTTTCCTCCGCAGCAGGGGCAGCAGCTGCAGCACCGGCACCGGCACCACCAGTGGGAGCAGCAACAGCAACTGCAGCACCACCGCCACCAGTACCAACATTCATGATGAGATCCCCAAGGTTTCTCTTCTCAGCAAGCTTAGCAAACAGCAGAGGCCAGTAAGGCTCGACTGTCACATTAGCTGCTTTCACTAAAGCAGAAATTTTCTCTGCCTATTACCACATAAACACAACAAAAATACAATCAATACAACAACAAAACCCAAATATTAGAAAATGTTACACATCAAACAAAATACCATTTTTTAAGACAAAATACACATCAAAACCCTGGGATTAGAAATCCTACTCACGCAAAGCACAATCAAAATACATCGAGATAATAGAACTAGAAAAATATCACATATTAATGTGTATGTTACAAGGGAAAATGACTTCCAAGAAAATGTTTTCCATGACAGAGTCATTTTGCGATGTTCGGTAAACAGAAGTATTTTCCATAGAAACATTTCCCATCGAACAGAAGAAAATAGCTTCCCTCACTTATGGGAAGAAGTCATTTTCTATACAACCATCTAAACTTTCAACTTCATATTACTTGCTTCAGCTAATACTCAGGCATTATTATTAATCTTTAGCAGTCAAAATTTCATAAACAAGCTATCCAATTAGCTAATATTATTATTAACCTTTGGTACATATTTCCTCAAAAATATTTTCCACTCACTAACCAAACAACAACATTTTTCATTAAAAAAGACTTTGCCATACCAAACGCACTTAAACACACAATCATGGTACAATAAATACAACATCGATAACCGTACAAGAGACTCTTACAGTGATTGGAATGTCCTCATCGTTGAGGATCAAACAAGCGTAAGTGCAAGCTATTTCTCCGATCGACATTTTATTAACGTTACTGTAATTTCAAAGAATACGAGTCAGAAAGTGATGAAAATGCTCAATCGTTTTGAAAACATCAGAAATAAATGAAAATGCTAAAGAAATGGTGAAAATATATGGAAATGTTTAATCGCACTCAGAAAAAATGGCGAAAATATATGAATATGCTTATTAACTATGAAAATGGAAAAAATAAATGAACATGCTAATACACGGTGAAAATTACAAGTAAATGTTTAATCGTAATCAGAAATGAAGAAATAAATTGATGAAAAAGCTCAGAAAATGGTAAAAACTATATGAATATGCTTAATTGCATTCAAAATTGGAGAAGATTGATGAAAATATTCTCATACCTTCGAGAAGACGGCGAAGGAGTTTACGGAGGTTCGGGAGCGATTGCAAGTCTTCTCTACTAGGGTTAGGGTTTGGAAAATGGTGGTGGTTATAAGGGGATAGACTTATGAGTGAGAAGAAGTTATGGACCCAATTTTGTTAATGAAGCCCAATAAAGATCAAATCCCATGCCATGAAGAGAATAATACTGGAATTTTACACAAATAGCCGGCTAGATTCACTATTTACTTTTTCTAGCCGGTATACATAAATAATAAGAAAAATGATACTTTATAATCGTTCTCAAAATAATAGTCAAAAAATATATAGTATTTGTATATATATATACATTCTGTATGTTATATACAAAAATTATATAAATTTTATACACTTTGTCGGCTACCCAATGTACATAGCGTCTGGTGCGGGCTAAAAGTGAAAAAAATCCTAAATTATATACTGATTATACATAGTTATGCATATATAATACATGAATTACACATATATTATATATTCGCCGGCTATTTTTAGTTTAAGCGATTATGTGAACGGCTATTTGGGTCAATTCTTCAAAAATCCTCTACCTCAATGGCTAGAAAATGGCAAAAATGAGATGCAATAAGGGGTAGTCTTTAACTTTTGACCTTTGGGGCAAGTCATCTACCAATCGGCAAAACTTTAAGTTTGGCTAAGCTTGTTAAACTTGAAGTTTTATCCATATGGACAAATGACTCGTCCAAAAGGTCAAAAGTTTAAGATCAGCTCCTTTTTAAAATGCAATTCAAAATTGGTCAAGTTCACCCGCTTGATACCATAAGAGAGTCAAGTTTCATATTAAAACTGTAGTCAAGTTTCATATTAAAACTGTAGCATATTCAACTCTCCCAAACTTAAGTTGATCAAGTTTCAGAAAGAAAAATTTTAAGTTATCAAGTTGGAGTGTGACTTGTTGTTCAACTCATTTTGATCCAAGCAAACGTTAAATACGAACTTGCACATAACGATTAACTATGTCCCAATTCCAAATTAATTAAGATCGACTATATGAAACTTTTATGTTAATAGGTATAAATAACACTTGAAATGTTCTTGTTTTGTAGTTACACAATCTTTGAACAAAATGATTGCAATAATGCCTATTTATACAACTCATTATCAGCCAGAGAGAGCCTCCATGCAAACAACTTCTAACCTGGAGAGCTAAACATGACATCTATAGCAGTACAAAATTGATCATATGGTAGAGCAGAAATCATATAGTATATGGTTTGTGCTACATGCATATATCAGTTACCATTGAACTTCATTTACGTAACAGAGACATTTTGGCATCAAAGAACACCCGGTTTGTAGGCTGCAACCACCGTCAGAAAACGGGTTCCCAATGCAATTGTCAACCCTGAATGCCTCTGGTTAATGCATTTCTCTGGTTTTGATGCTCTATTTCTTCTTTGAGAGGTAACACGGGTGATTCTTCCCACATTCGATCTGCCTTCAAGCGATGGGACAAGATTCCGCCAGATAGTAAATGCTTCCAGTATTAGCAAGTAGTTGATACCACATCGACAGTTGATGGTTCTGCAATTTTTTCTGCAGTAGAGTCGTTTAATTTCCTCTTCTTCTCACTATGGCGCTGCTTATTTGAAGAACGGTCAGCTTTGGAAACAATTTCTGAAACAGTAAAGCCAGCAACTTCAAAATTATATGATTTGTTTGGAAGTAATGCATTACGAACTATGACATCAACGCCATCATATGTCCAGACACCTATTTTAGCCTCTCCCTTAAGTCCAATGGCAAACCAACCAAGACCTGAAGCAGCAACATCAACAGAACTTGAATCCCATGAGTTCCCGCTCACATGAAATTCCCTCTTCAACCATTTCCCTAGCTCCTCAAGTCGCCCCTCTCCAATCGGCGGCTGACAAAACAGAAGAGACAATGGAATGTTTAATCATATCATATCAATCAGCCAAAAGGTCAAAGCACGAAAGTAAGTACATGAGGTTGCTGCATGTACAGAAGAGTTTTGAATTTTACAAATAGGAGGTGTCATGGTGTATGTTATTTGCTAATGACATAGTTCTGATTGACGAGACGTGGGGTGATGTTAATGAGAGGCTGGAGGTTTGGAGGCAGACCCTAAAGTCTAAGGGTTTCAAGTTGAGCAGGACCAAGACAGAATACTTGGAGTGCAAGTTCAACAACGTTACCCAGGAAGCGGACATGGAGGTGAAGCTTGATACACAAGTCATCCCCAAGAGAGGTAGTTTCAAGTACCTTGAATCTATAATACAAGGTTATGGGGAGATTGATGAAGATGTCACGCACAGTATCAGAGCTGGATGGATAAAGTGGAGGCTCGCTTCCGATGTCTTGTGTGATAAAAATGTGCCACTGAGACTAAAAGGTAGGTTCTACAAGGTTGTAGTTAGACCGACTATGTTGTATGGCGCAGAGTGTTGGCCTGTCAAGAACACTCATGACCAGAAGATAAAAGTAGTTGAGATGAGGATGTTAAGGTGGATGTGTGGGCATACCAGGTTCGATAAGATTAGGAATGAAGTTATTCGGGATACGGTGGGAGTGGCTTCCGTGGAGGAAAAGATGCGGGAGGCGAGGTTGAGATGATTCGGACATGTTAAGAGGAGAAGTATAGAAGCCCGAGTCAGAAGATGCGAGAGGTTAGCCTCAGTGGGTATCAGGAGGGCTAAAGGTAGGCCTAAAAAGTCTTGGGGCGAGGTTATTAGGGGGGACATGGCGCAGCTGGAGCTGACTGAGGACATGGCCCTAGATAGGAGGGTGTGGAAGTCGAGGATTAGGGTAGAAGGCTAGTAGGTAGTCAAACGTATCTCTTTGTCTTTCCCAATTCGCTAGCATTAGTGTTAGTATGATATCCTTTTATTCATAGATTGCTATTACTACCAAGAGTTTAACTGCTTTTTTGGCTTCGGTATTTTTTTATCTTGCTGTTATTCCTTCTTGTTGCCATTACTTTTGTCATCCGTTCTCCCGCCGAGGGTCTATCGGAAATCGTCTTTCTTTCCTTCTAGGCTAAGGGTAAGGCTGCGTACATCTTACCCTCCCCAAACCCCATTTGTGTTGTTGTTGTTGTCGTTGTTGTTATATTGAAGTATGTGAAGAACCAGACAACTAAATGAAGGATTCAGCAGATAAATCTGGAGAAACCATGATAGTTCAACTCTGATTCCATATACTTTGACACCTCGAAAAGATTTAACACACAGAGCGGAAATGATGTAGAAACAGAGATGCATGTGGAATTTTAAAATTTTGCTAATGTTGATTATTGTTCATTTAATTACTGGTCAAGAAATGTTATCCCATATTTTCTTGCCTCACAGTCTCACACAGTTCCAAATATAGCATCAGTGTGAAGAAGCGCAGAAAGTTGACCTAAGTTCTAAAAATGTTGACACCCTGAATTCCTGACCAGGGTACGTTTCGGTACCTAAGATTTCTATTACAAAGAGCATAGCTTTAATGCCATCACCCAAGAGCCCCACACAGTTCCAAACGTAGCGTCAGACTGTTGCACTTTTACTTCAAACTCAAGAGCCCAA